GGCCGACTGAATTTCAAACCTGTTTGATTTTCTCCGGACGTTACGATTCCTGATGGGGAGGTGGTTGAGAGAGGCCGATCGCCCCTCGTTACCCCCCTGTACTCTACAGGACGCACGATCAGACATTTTGTGCACAGGCGTGCAGGTGGCACAGTGGTTAGCCGACCCGGGTTCGAATCTGACCTGCGGTCCTTTGCTGCATGTCTCTTCCCCTCTCAGAGTGCTGTAGACCAGCAGGTCCTCTCCGTACACGCCTGATCACTTTCACCAACCTTTATTACTGTGATAGAGATAAAACTGGGCATAAATCCATCCATCATCCATCCTATCGGGTCGTGGGGGTAGCAGCTTCAGTAGGGAGGCCCAGACGTCCCTCTCCCCAGCCACCCAGCTCCTCCGGGGGAATCCCAAGGCGCTCCCAGGCCAGCAAAGAAACATAGTCTCTCCAGCGTGTCCTGGGTCTCCTCCTGGGCCTCCTCCCGGTGGGACGTGCCTGGAACACCTCACCAGAGAGGCGTCCAGGAGGCATCCTAACCAGATGCCCCTAACCACCTCCACTGGCTCCTCTCCATGTGGAGGAGCAGCAGCCAAAGCTCATGACCATAGATGAGGGTAGGAACGTAGATCGACCCGTTAATCTAGAGCTTTGCTCTCTCTTCACCAAACAGACCGGTACAGCGCACGCCTCACAGCTCCATCTTCCCCTCATTCGTTAACACACCCCAAGATAAGTGCAGCCTTGAAAACGCCTGTAATATAAACATATGACTGTATATTACCAGTTCTAACATCATTTTATGTTTGTTAAGTTATGAACAGAATCGGTGACAAAGGGCAACCTTGGCGGAGTCCAACCCTCACCGGAAACGAGTCTGACTTACTGCCAGCAATGAGGACCAGACTCTGACACCGGTCATACAGAGACCTAACAGCCTCCATTAAAGGGCCGGTACTCCATACTCCCGGAGTACCCCCCCCCACAGGACCCCTGAGGGACACGGTGGAATGCCTTCTCAAGATCCACTAAACACATGTAGACTGGCTGGGCAAACCCCCATGAACCCTCCAGGATCCTGCTGAGGGTGTAGAGCTGATCCAGGGTTCCACAACCAGGATGAAAACCACACTGCTCCTCCTGGATCCCAGATTCAACTATCCATCCTGTTCAACAGTGTTATTATGAACAGGGGCAGAGACGCTGCTTCCTACGGAAGAGGACTAGGGCCAGTGAAAAAAAAAAAAAAGTTAACCAATTTTTACATTTTATTTCAGCTTAGTATGGGGAAAAAGTCAGAATTCTGACTTTAATCTCAGAATTCTGACTTT